GCGGGGCCCTTCTAGACCGCGGGGCCCGGGGCCCGGGGCTCTAGCCTCTTTAGCCCCCCCTTAATCCAGGTATGGCTCAGAGCACTTTAAACTGTGAACACTTGTAAGGAGAGAATTTGAGAGCATTGAAGATAGTAAGGATTTATCAAAAATTGATATTTTGTGTGATTTCGATCGGCATCATGTAAAATTCAGAAGATGAAAACTGCTAGTAGAGATGGAGAATAGTAAATCACGTCAACAGGTAATGCCTAATTTGAATCTGAAGTCTATTTTTTGCACCTTTAACGAGCTAAAAGAGACTTTTGTTCTGGAAAGCTATTAGGATCCATATTGTCCAAATGTAGGAGCTGGATATGATATCGGATTTCCTGCAACCATACATAGTAGGTACTCCTTAATACTTGGTTTTGAAAAGGGAGTCCTGATAATCGAAAAAAACTTCGAGAAAAAACAAATTGATTTCTTCAAACCTCGGATGTTACTATCCTCAGAAAATTTGGTATTGAAAATGACAAGTGATCTGGGACAATGAGAGCTACTATTAAAATAAACCTGAAACATGAAAGATCTTAAGAAACATCAACAGAAGAACAGAAATACGGAGATACATAAGAAAATACAATACAGAGAAGTTAAAATAAAATAGGCATTATTGAAGAAAATACAAACAAGAAAGCACTAAGAAGGAACTTAGCAACTGACAAAATAAAAACTTTAATTTTAATTCAAAGATCAAAAAGCGAAGGGAACAACAAATTGGACTAAGGACAAAGCTTCTAGAAATAACAGTAGCATGCTATAAAGAGAACTACCGCAGTAGTCGCAGTACCTACAATCGGAAAAAAAGTCTAAATAATACACCACGAATAACAGATAGTAAAGTGATAAAACAAGGCAACGAGATAATGAATTTCGAAGTCATTTCTTGTACCTATATCTATCTGCGCATCTGCAATAGTAGCAACTAGCGCACACGTTTCTGACACATTCTTAAAGATAATAATGACAGATTAATTGGATAAGTTAAAAGTGAAAATGTTACAATTCGCTAATTAAATGAAAGATATCGGTAAAATCCAAATGTAATCCAACTAACTGCTAAGCAATTAGAACAAAAATACTTTGATAGTTAGTGTTGCGGAAAATATGAAAATTGTTTAGTGGACTGTATGATTTGAAAGAAAATTAAATAAATGTTTGAACCCGGTACGCACAAATCATTTACCTTTGAAAAGGTTTCTGTTGGTTCTCTGGGTACTGGTCCAAACTGAAGCGTGTTGACTGTAGCAGAGTACTCTGTAGCTTTTTAGGGCAGTAAAATAGGGGCAGTTTCGTTGTATTGACCGAACCGTCCGATACGACACGAATTGGTACGGGTCGCGTAGCGAGAGTGTGCGTTGTCTACTCTGCCGTCGAGAATATATTATTTTTAAAATCTCGAACAAGGCAGCATAAAAATACAGCTACTTCTAGCAAGTGACGTGTGCGCATATGATGAACGAAAAAAGTCGCTAATGAAAAACATAGGCACAAGCGAACTTTGTAGATTGCTCTACACAAACTAAAATAGGCAAAAAGCCCTTTTGAGAGTTTCCTAAACAGTTAGAGCTAGTATAGTGAATTTAATGACAATTATTATAGTAAGTACATATAAGATAAGAATAATTTTATTTGAAATTAATTACAATGACTATGAATGTGAAATGACTATGGAACATTATTTTTGCTAAGAGTTTAAATAGGAAAACTATAATGCACTCAACGATTGCCGATTAGTAGAATGAATTTATTGAAGATTTTGAATTGAATTTGACTATTGAAGATTAAGGGCTCTAGTAGGTAGCTAATTAAAAGAACTTAAATAAATTGTGTAATGTTGACCTGGAATATGAAAAATATTACCTATTGTTCTGGCTGATCCTTAATAAAAGTTTTAATCATTAAAAGTATCTAGTGAAAAGTTTCAATAAAAATGTTTTGTACTTGAAGTAAGATGGTTGTCTAAATTGCTGAATTTTAGAATAAAAGTTTAATCAATTAGATTTATTGAAAGGATTTAAGTAAAATAATGTTTGTAATAATTAATCTGACTAGGTTCATGATTATAAATAACTGTTATAATTAAAGGAAATGGTAGTTTTATTTAAAATATGTATGGAATCCATTTAATATTGTGTAGAGGAGTAAATGATTCGGTTATAAGATGAGAGCATCGAAGTAGGGCTTTATAAAAAGGATAATTCAAGTTCTGAAAAATAAAGGAAGAATCTTATGAATAGAATGTTGAAGATTGAAAAGTGTTGTAGTGAATTCAATAAGCAAACATAGAGGTGGCTGTAAGACTTTGGAAAAATATTAGTTTTATTACTTCGTACTGGCAAATTGGGATTTGATTATTTAAGTAAAATAAAGTATAATTTTGTAACCTTACTACAGTTGTTTCTCTCATTTGCGAATAGACCCCCTCCGCAATTTTATTAGTAACTGACCAAGGAAATAAACACCGTCAATAAAACTGCTCGCCATTTACTATCTAACTAATTGAAAGAGTAGGTACTTGGGCGCATTTGCTACACTAGCGAAAATTTGTAGATATCAACATATCAAATTAACTTTTCAAAAAACTTTTAATATAGGTAGGGGAGAGTAGTACACAATGGATCAATTTTCGGGCTTAGTTTTTTTTGGCAAAACTTAATAGGATCTTAATTAATGTGAAAGTTTTAGGCTAAAGGTTTATGTTTAACAAAGTCGAATTGAATAGATAAATGTTCTAGAATTATTAGAGATAGTAAATTTTGTGATTTTTTGTTGTATCGACAAATGATCCATTGTGTACCATATATGGTACAGAATGAAACGAACAGTGGTACACAATGAAACTACCTGTGGTGTACAATAAAATGCTGTAAATTTACAAAATAAATATTTATTTCTAATTAAACAACACTAAACAATGTTCGCAAATGTTTCCAAAATCAAACATGAATTCTTAAAAATTGTTATAGGTATTATTTCAAAAACAAATTCGCACTAGCCCGTTTGTTAGTTTTCCAGCTTTCAGGACATTTTATTTTATATCTATGTGTTATCTCGTATGCAAGTTTTCTTATTTTTGTTGTATTTTTCCTACTTTTATTGTATTTAATCCATATGCCATTTCACTGCATTTTTTTATATATTTGCATAATGAGTCTTCTTGCACCTTTAAAAAAACAGCTCCCACCAAATAATCAAAAAAAAATATTATTAACACATGTGCGTACTACACGATTAACTATTGTTATAACATTTACAACTAATACAATATTTAAATTAATAAAAATAAAACAATAAAAACAACATAAAAAAAAAACAATAAAAAACAATGTTTTAGAAAATGTTTTCAATGTGGTAACTACATAATAATACATGTATCATTGTGTGCCACCGAATATGTTTCATTGTGTACCACCGGGCAGCTGCTGATATTCAAAGTAAAAAAACACGTTAAATATTATTGAATCAATCTAAAATTATTAGGTTATGTTGCCAATAAACTTCCTATTCTAAATGTATCACTCCCAAACAATAAAAATAATATAAAAAAATATCAATCATTTTTACAACAAAATTCAGGAAAAAACTTCAGGGTCCAAAAAACACAATTTTTTTTGCCACTTTTATCAAAATGCCGGTATCACCGCCAAAACACACTGAATAAAGTGGTAAACACTGACGTACGTTGGGTCGCGGTGAAGTCAATGTGGCGCGAAATTTAAACGAAATAATTGGAATGTTCCATTGTGTACTGCGTTTCATAGTGTACTACTCTCCCCTACTCAAATTTGACAATAAATATTAACTAGACTTAAAATAAATTCTTCTAATAAAAAAATCTTATTCATAGGTAGGTATGTACTACCTAACTAAAAATCTTGGAGTCGGCCTAGTTGTCAAGGCGGTTCTGCCGAATAGTGCTAAATATGCGTAGTTGGGGTTAGTGTAGTGTAGTTTGGGAGACACTTTGCTACTGCTTGGTCGAATGTGGTGTGGTATATTTGGATGTATCATTGATATGTATACATATGTATACACAAATAGCTCCAAGAACACTTCAACCAAATTTATGGATGGACCTTCATCTGGAAAATAAAAACCCACTTGAAAAAAATACAAGTGCTAATAATCACCCGCAAATAAGACAGAAACATGTCTATACTCACACATAATAATAAGTGATTGAATGTTAAGATTCATGGGCAGCAAACTATTTATTAATAAATTTCAAATATCCCATTAAAGAAGAACTAAAGCTTAAAGAAGCAAATGCTCCATTTTTATTAATACGGCTGGTCTCAATTTGTCTCGATTCATCAACCTTACCAAAACGAATAAATGATTTCCTCAAATGAAACAGATAAACACGAAGGCAAATTGACCGAAAAAGTAGAGTAATATATTGTATATTTAGGTAACCAAATCACAGTCGGTGAAGAGAACGAACAGGCGGACATCGCAGACAAATTAGCATCACCTGCGCAGTCACTGGAAAATTGAAATGTAGGTATTTTCAGAAATCCGGATATTACCTTCAACTCTAAATCGAAATTGTTGCAGTGTGCATCCTGCTAGTGAACGCATATACAGTGAGAAACAGTTCCGCAAGTAGGTACATTGGCAACTTAAACAGGTAACAAGCGTCGCAGCACGCAAAGAGACTCTTGCTGGAAATATCACTTCGAGACCATAATATAAGAAATAAGGATGTCACTTTGTCTTTAAAATGAAATGAAGACAAGATTATTGCAAGATTGATCAAAATACATCCTAATTAATGGAAAACTGATAGCAAAGAAGGAATTAGAGAAGACGAGGAAAGGCTTACGTCTATGAGCAGACAGCGAAAGTATGTTAAAGAAAATATGAGAAGAAAGAAAAATACTAACTCCTATGTTGCAGATTGACTGTTTAAATTTGTTACTGCATAGTTCACCCATCGAATAAACAAAATTTACCTTGCCACTTTCCCTTGGAAATCTTATCGCACTGATCAAATAATTCATCGTTTATGCTTCCCCATTCTTTAACAATAATATCCAGAGATGTACTATTTATTGCTTCTTGGTTTAGAGTTACGTTGGAGATGTTCATCCTGTAGCACCCAAATCTATCCATTTCAGTTGGTTTTAGTTGTTCCGACGCACCATTAACAAGCACAAGGACATTATCACAGGCATTACCTGAAAAAATTGTAAAACAAGTTCCGCCATAATTTCTCAGTTGTTCCGTTAAGCTCTCTTCTGAATGTGCTCTTTCACCTATTTTTGAAATTAGCATAATTGGATAAAGCAACTGACAATTCAATTTTCTGTACGCTCACCTTTGAAAAACTTCGAATCCTTTTTAAGAAAATAAGTACCTACCTAAAATAGAAACTCTCTAAATAAAAACAGAATTTTAATGTTTACATTAGAGACGTATTTAAATGTTGGTGAAAGAGCCCATTTGGTGTTTGCAGGAATATGTCAAGTAACGTACCTTTATCCTGATGTGATGAACTACTATCAGAAATAACCATTAATTCCGCAATGCCATTATTAATAAACAGTTGCCTGAGTTGTTCCAAATAAGCTTTGTCTGGTTGACATTTGTCTCTAGATTCTTGGTTTCCAAATTGGTTTTCTATATGAAAAGCGATTATTGGACCGCCTTTAGTGAATTGGAAAGCAGCGAGAAGAGTCAAAAGCACATTGAAATATCTACAAAAATTTATTAGTTTGGCCCAGTATTTGAAGAGTTAACCTCGTGACTAACTTCAAGTATACCGATTCAGAAGTCCTTAATCCTATTTTGTTTTCCTTCAGAAGCCCAGAATCACTAGAATTGTTATCTAAGCAAATCGAGGTACCAGTACGTAAAATTACAAACAAATCCTCTTCTTTGGCAGTTTTAAGGAATGCCTCTAGCTGTGGAAAATCATCGAATTCGAAATCACTACTATCAAAATCACATTGTCCTGTACACGCAATTTTCTTAAGATTAAAAATATTATATCAAAATCAAAAATTCCTACCTGACTGTGTTTCATGTAAACTCCATGGCACGTAGGTTTCTACAGTGTTCAATCCTGCCGCCCGAAGTTTTTTTAATCTGTCTCTCCAAGAGGCGCGAGGCACTCTAAAATAGTGCATAGCTCCGCTATATATTCGAACCAATTTATCATTCAAAGTAAAATAACTCTGGTTCGCATTTAATCCTTGATTAATGCCATCGGAAGTGTAATGTTCGTAATTGGTTGGCAAAGAGGCAGATACTGGGCAACTAGTAAAAAGGGACATTTTAGTAAGAAAATTTATATGCTTTCTTATGAAAATATAATTAGGTACTCATTAAGACAATATATTATTATAAAAGCGTTTTTTTTTTTTAAATTAAAAATACTCGAGTTTATCTTCAAGTGGAAAAGATACGCAATTTTGTGATAAACGCAGAAATTAATTTAATAGATATAGATATAATTATGTTATACGCAAATGTAGGTACTATAGGTATCTATACCTTTACAACTTCAAATTGATTTGAAATTGATTGTTCTCAATTTGATTTTATTTAATCTCAATTTGAAAATGTTTGTTCTCAATTTGATTGTGATAAGTCTCAATTTGAAGTTGTAAAGGCATAGTCCTACATTTATTATTTTCAAGCCGCAGGTAGGTAAAGTTTGTTTCGCTAGGGTTTGTACTTGCCACCAGCATTTGCCTTCCTTGTTTAACAAATCAAAATTGACTGAAACAAATCAATGACGTCAAAAACGTTCGTCGGTTCTTAAACCAGAAGTCATTCATTTTATGTCAAAAAAATTGAGTGTGTCATGAATTAATCTACGACAACCCTTTTCTCTTCAAGTTTCAAGGTCAACTATGAACCCTGGTGAAACGAACCTTACTTGTTTTTTAATTGAGAATTTTTCTTCCAAAAAAATTGTAAATAAACTAAACTCTCATCTTCATTCTGTCAGTGCAGAAGTCGTTTATTCTGGTGTCAGCTGCAGGTAAAATTTGAGGCACTCAGTTTCTCTAATAGCGTTTTTAGAATTTTTAGAGCCAAATAAGTTGGAGACGGCTCAACCAAATATAGACAAACTATATATTTTTGGAATCGGGAAATTGTGCACTTCAAAAATTTCATTTGAAAAAAGTTCAAAGTAGGTACCTACGCAAAATTCCAAATTTCTGAAAATAAATTTTTGTTTCTAACGATGGATTCTAAAAATTAAGCCAAAATTGCACAACTTTTGTATTCACATCTATCATCTACCTGTAAAGGTGGAGGCTGCAGATCTGCGAAAAGCGTCATTTCCAGCACCTAGTTTATCCCAGTCTCGCTGGTGTTCATCTGCTTTCAACAGTCTCCCGTTGTGTTGTTCCTTGTTCTTGCAAAATTTCCTAGAAGCGACACTGTTCTTGTTTTTCTTTTCTAATACGTCCGTGGTCACTCAAGTAGGTAAATAATGATTGTTTATATATTCTATACTTCAAGACAATTTTATTTTTATTATTTATTTTATCCTAGCCGAAGTGTGAACTATTGTGTATACCCATTAGATAACTCTTTATCTTTGTTAGGTATGTTCTTACTTATATACATATAAAGAGTAAGTATGCTCTTAGATATAGGTAAAACAAAAAAAATATTTGGTCCTGTCCCTACATTCTTGTAAAACAAATAAATACCTACATAATAATGTTTTATATTGGTAATCTAAAGTGTTTTCATTGAGAATAAGATTATAAAATTAAAAGATGTTGTTTTTGAATGATTTCGAATTTTGTACAATAACATAAATAATTAACTCATTACCTACTCCTGGAAATTTATGCAAATTTCAAGCTAAAATATTTTCAGATGTTGGCTGGGTTCGGTAATTGCATGTGCGAGCAAAATAAGCAAAATTTGACAGATGTCACGTGATCTGACACGTGATACGCGCGTCCGTCAAAATTTGCTCCTTTTCTCGCAGATGCAATTACCTGACCCAGCCATTGTCAGCAGGAGGCCCGGTATTTAACCTTATTTATTCATTGGCGAGTCAGGCCGGATATTGATTGGCGACTCAGCAATAGATAAATATAAATAGTGGCTCTCGACAAAATAAAAGGAGACTTGAACCAGTGCCAGTACCTCTACTCGGAAAAGCCCATCTGGACACGAGTCTCCTAATATCAGTACCTCTTTCTGGTACAGCCCCTCTAGACGAAGATACGGGTTGTAACCCCTTTTGTTAATGAATTAACAAGAGGCCCATAATATGCTCAGTTTGCTCAGCGAATAATTATTAGGAATGGGTCAACAGTTTAATAAGTACAGAATGGCAAGGGCGCCACTCAATTTGAAAAAAATATAAAAAAATTAAATTACATAAGGGTGAAAACTCAGAAACACATCTAAAAAAGAAAAAAAAAAATCAGCAAACGGTAATTGATAATTCTGGAAAGGAAATAAATAAGGCATATAATTCAACCAAATCTTGACATAGGTAAACCAATAAAACAATTAAGTAAGTTTAAAATTAAATCAGTGTATATTTTCACAGTGAGGTTAAAAATCAAGAATTAAATAATTTTAAAAGATAAAAAAAACACTTTAAAACAAATCAATAAAAAGAGGTTAACTCTCAATCAGATTCAATAAATTCCAAATCAAATAATATTAAAATATAGTTGTCATATAAGTTCATTACCAGTGGCTGGCCATATCATTACCCACATAACAGTGAAAGAACATTCATATTCTCAGAATATTCCCTCAAAGTGCTTTTTCGAATGTTCTTTCAGGAATGTTTAATGAATATTCTAAGATTGTTTCGATTGAAATAGGTATTAATTTTTGGACGTTCTATTTATGTATTAGGAATGTTGCTTCTATGCACCTACTTGAGAGATTGTGCTAAGAAACTACTTAATATAACATTTTTTGAATATTGTCATACGAACATTATTAGAATGTACCCTAAAAAATGTTCTTCCAGCTAATATCTCTATCAAGTATTAAGAACATACCTACCAAGTTGTGCTGAGAAGTTTATGTAGGTAGATAACCATGATAAGAATATTTTTATATTGTTCATCTAATTATCTAAAGTACCTACTCAAAAATCTTAATTGAACAATTAAACAATAATGCTCTATCTAGAACCTACTAAAAATATTATAGGTATATTCTTTTTCTGTTGCTTTGTAGGACTTCCAAGAGAGGGAGCCACGCGCTATCAAAGATCTACATCTTGTCTAGCGTTTGAATCTCCTTGGAAACTGTTTCTGTCAGTTGGCGTGTTTACCGCGACGAGAGCATAATAACAAGCTCGAAACCGGACCGGAGCTTGTGTTTTCCAGAGAAGTTTTCCAACAACTCTTTCACTGCCTTTAATATAAAAGGACTGAAAGGGCCGAAAGGGGCATTATTTGGATGCGAAAATTAACATTCCAAGTATATGCTTAGAATCAAACAAGAATATTATGTCTAGGATGCATATTGAGAAAGATATATGTAGATATATTCTAAGAATATTTCAAGCATATTGGTATAATATTCTATTGAGAACATAACTATAATGTCATAGAAACATTCTTTCAATGTGAGAATATACATTTCAAGCATATTTTTAGAATCAAACAGGAATATTCTTTTCAGAATGTACTGAGAATCTCATAGGTATATTCTAGGAATATCCCAATGGATTTCCCAGGAAGTTATTGGGTATTGCAAACAGTATTTCTACAATCTTTTCTCAGAACATTCTCAGGACATTCGCAATGGTTTTGGCGAATATTCTAGGCACATTCCTTCTAAAAAAAGAACATTCTTATTACATTCTAAGGATGCAATTTTGTTAAATTAAAATAAATTCGATACAATCAACTTTCACCTGTATGAAATCAAAAGTTATTTACCCAACTTCAGGAGATATAATAGAAACCCTGAAATATATAAGTTATACCTACTTAGGACCCAGGTTAAAAATTAATCAATGTTCGACGATGTAGGTACTTACTCAATAATTTTAAATTTAGAGCATGTTGTCCAACCTTGACTTCTGTTCAGAAGTATATTTCATTTAAAAAATAATAAAAGTTATAAATGAAACTCTATACAAGCCTCCATTCCAACAAAAAGGTAAAGCACGTAGCCATCCATTCTCGGTCACTTAACGAGGGAAGTTGCAAATGAAAGTTGCAGATAAATCAAGGCTAGAAGTTCAGTTCTCTTCGTCAAATATGGGGGTACACGTATCGACTCGTGAGGAACTTGATTTCTCTAGGAATACCTTCAAAAGCTCCATGCCACGATCAACGAAAATGGCTCTCCTGTAAAAACGGCTCTCCAAAAAACCCACGAGAGGTTCGAAATTCAAACTCGAATAGGGCGGTAACCACGAGACTTTTAATTTGAATTTTTTCGGTAACCAACGGAACTTTGCCCTGCGCAACTTTATTTCGCCAAACCAATGCCTGATGGCCGATAAGGTACTTTTCTTCATGAGAACGGTAATCACAGTTGAGGAAGATGGCTGCCCCCAGGCCACAGTCGACCTTTCAGGTCGAACGGCAAAATTTAAAAGGGACGAGGAAAAGGACAAGCTGAACGGGCAGAGCTTCCCCTCAAAAAATACAATAGTAGACGGAAAGTGTTGGTACCAAACTGGTACTTCAAACTTAAACGAAAATCGTGCCCTCTAGGTTAATAATGGCTATTATTATTTTCGACAGAAATCTACTTTAAATATGCCAGTCGCCAGGTGGTCAATTTTTGACCCCTCGCAAACATAGAAACGTATGTAGATTGTTCCTAAATCTGCGAACAGCCACAAGTTCTAATTTTTGGCCGTTCGCAAAGTTTCGTATGCGCTAATTTTCATTCGCTTTTCTGCGAGCGGTATTCTAGTCGCCTTATTCTGTTTGCGTATTCGTTTTTCTTGTGTCAAGTGGGGATGTTAGGTTGTTTTTGTTTGTCAGTTTTTTGATAGCGATTTTATTATTGGATTATTGTGTATCTACTATCTCTGTATCTGGGAGGGTGATATATAAGGTATGCTACAACACTTAGGGAGGATTTTCATGCATCCGTTTTTCCGTTAAAATATGTCCGTTTAACATTCTATTCTGACATATTTATATACGATTATGTCAGAATAGAATGTTAAACGGACATATTTCGACGGAAAAACGGATGCATGAAAATCCTCCCTTAGGCCACAATTATGCCCATTGTGCGCCTCCACAAGAGGAGAGGTTATCATTAGCTGGTCATCCAGCCTAGCGATTCTACGTAGGCGATGACGTCGCTGAAGGCGGTGCCTCAAATCTCTTCTAGTGATGGGTACGATTGGCCTAATCTGGCTCTGCGTATTGGCGAAAGAGCAGTGCAGTCACTATCGTCTCATCTTCTTGATTGCAAGGTGTATCTACTATAATACGGAAAACTTGATGAATGTGCTGGCAATTCGTAATTTGGAAAACGCAGAGATACGAAATCGACATAACCATTGTGATCCATTTCTAGAGCTAAACCAAAGGTCCTGTTTCTCAATAGCGAGTCACCTTCGGGTTGGTTTTAACTCCAGGTTAAACGTGTCCAGTTGCAATGTTTACCCCGGAGTAATGCTTAGCCCGGGGGTGACTTGCTATTGAGAAACCGGCTCAAAGACAGTTTATTGAAGGGTGTTCATTTGTACTTGTTCTACCTGCTCGAAAAATCAGGAAGATCTGCTAGGAGTTGCTATTTATGAGCTTATATGAGACAAATGAACGCCGATCTGCTGTTAAGATCTGCTTGAAGCAGGAAAAGCACTACGAATTACAAATAAGCACCCTGGTAATATGTTCTGATTGTCGAAAGAGCTTGTTAGATATTTGGTTGAATGTTTAGAACCTCATACTCGTCTGGCACAACGACCAACAGATTTAGATGTATTTTCTAAAGTAGGAAATGAATGTTATTTAGAAGGCTGTTTTGCAATGTTTGTTACACAGTTAGTTTAATACGGTACTACTCATGGGTCTTGATTATGCGTTGCAATTTTTCGCAAGCCGTAGCTATCAACCGGATTAGCTGTAGCTTGCTTTTCACATACTTCACAGGTTTCTTTTGCTTTTCACTGGCATTCGCATCCCTTTTCTTCTAGTTTTTTGTCACTGCTTTCTTCCATAATTTACCACTATCGTAAACATCCACAACACAAAATCCACAATTCTTTCAAAATTAATTCAAAAAGGCAAAAACACATTCTAAAATTTCCGACGTTGTCAAATCAACCATACGTATGTTTACGAATTCGCAATATCTACGTTTATCCATTTACGCACACCGGTCAAAAATGGGTTTATAGATACGTATACGTTTATTTTTGTTCGCAAATCTTCGAATACGCAAGTTAACGTATATTGTCAAAAATTGACCCCCAGACTGTTAGCATTCAAGGTGACAATTTAATTTATAAAACGATATATAGAAAAAAAAGACAGTAACATTTAGCATGTTACTGGGTATGATAGCATTCAGCGTAGCAATAGAAACCGACAGTCCTAAGTAGCGTTGACTTCTGTTCTGTGAAGACCCTAGTGTTGAAGAGGCAGGCATCCTAAAGTAAGGATTTATGTAAGGGCTTATGATCGGAAAAATAACGATATATTTTTATATTATAACTTAAGTGAGTTTCTTTCCATATTTCCCCGCATGTGACATATTTGGAGATAGACTAATCATTCCATCGCCCCATCCTGCCAGAAACTCTGCAAGACAAATGCAAGAGAATGGACTTATAACTGAAAGCATTATTCGATTCGGTCAACAGAAAACTGAAAAGCTCTTTGGTAGATATTGGCAGAGGTATTGGATGTGCGCAAAAGTACAGTTGCGATAAAAAAAAAGTAGTACAAGAAAAATCTCCAAAATCTCCTGGTCTATTATACATTAATTTAATTCATAACCAAAAATGACATATTTTCGGCATTTTTTGACAAGTTTTTAACTCGAAAGCTTCTGATGACATGTTACACCGGAAGCTCAAATTAGAGTTAATAATTTTTGTTCTACTTTTTTTTTGATCGCAACAGTAAATCCGGATACTCCGCCTGCTGCATTATAATATGAATGCAACCGTCTTAAGAAACGACGGACAAGGAGAGTCTTTGGAAATAACTACAGGCGCTAAACAGTACTGTGTAATTGTACCCACATTCTCTATTTATAGGATCCATACGCACCTTGTCGAGGATCAACAGGTTTGTAAATCCTGTACAGACTTGATGGCGGCTTATTCAACCTGAACAGATTACGGGCCAAGATGGAAGTATCGACGGCATCGATAATTGAACTTCAATATGAGGATGATAACGTCGTGACAGCCAATACAGAGGAAGATTTTCGGGCAATTATCAATGCATTCAACCAATCATACAGGAGAATCGGCCTAGAGGTGAACTTTAACAAGACGCAGATTCTACACCACCTGCACCGGATACTTATCTTCAAGTCCCAAATATAACTAGGTACCATAAATGGCCATTCTTTGCAGAACGTAGGTAGTGTTTTGCCTTGGTAGCCATCTATCAGCGAATGCCAACTATGACGCTGAAATCCAACGTCGCTTGAAGCGCGCAAGCGCGGCGATCGGGCGACTTCTAGAGAGAGTCTTCAACAATCACGACATCAGCGCGGAGGCCAAACTTCGCATTCACAATGCAGTTGTAATACCAACCCTTACATATGGCTGCGAAACATGGACCACTCACAGAAGACGCATAAAAAGTCAAGAAAAATACCACCAGCGTGACCTAAGAAGGATCTTATGGAATAAATGGCAACACCGACGAACGATCATCAGTGTTCTAGAGGAGGACAATTAGGACAAAACAACTAGCATGGAAGCCCTTATCGTTAAAAGCACCAACTCCGCTGGACATTTCACCTCGTCTGCATGCCCAAAACACGCCTTCCACGACAGATTCTCTAAACTCAACTGAAAGAGGAAAAACGAAATCAAGAAGGTCAACAAAAACGCTTCAAAGATGTTCAAAAGGCGAATATGTGACCTCAGGAAGGAGCGAGAGAACAGAGGAAAAAACTGGGTGTGCCAAAACTGTGGAAGTGTGTGCAGGTCCAGAATTGGTTCATATCTTTGGTTTATATAGCCATCCAAAAACGTAGAATCGACGAAAATAAGGGAGAATAGAACGACAATAAGAATATGATAGAAGAAGATACGATACTCGTATCGAGTGATCGCCTGACATGATGATGATAACTTGCACTTGTTATTTTAGCGTTGTTCGCTATATTTCCACTTATGTGTAAACACATTAATTAGATCACCTCCAGTCCAGTTGCTATTGTTATTCTTCCCCAGCGCATCTTGTTCGCCTTATTTCGATTTGTGTATAGACACATTAATTAGATCATCTTCAATTGTTATTGTTATTGTTATTTTTACCCAAGTTTTTACCCAGCGCATCCACCGCATGCTTTTATCTTCATTTGTGATTTTAACCCAACATCATTCATTATTTAGTCACTGTTAATATTTTTATTGTTATTTTCTTCATTCCGCGCCTAGGTATATCATTTTTCTTCTTAAATAAACTGCTTTAAGTATGTTTACTACGAAATCAAACTATTTTTTTTTTGCAAATCTGTAATAACTCCTCTCGGGCTAGCTGCAAACTGGCAACAAACGCAAGAGTTAGAAAAAGGCACTCTAATTCTAGTCAAATAATCGTATAATCCAGCTCAGTGGGATTAGAGTCGATATCCCTAGTGGCACGCTACCGTTTTAATTTCTGGCCCTTTTATCATTCGACACAATTAGGTGTCGGAGGTTTAAACGTCACGCAGAACATACCACCAACGTAGATCGTTCAGACCTATAAACCATTTTTTCTGAAAAGTCTGGGGGACAACTCGCGAGTGTTCATCAGTCCACCTACTAGAGAGGTAAATAAGGACTTGCTCCTGAGAGAATGGTCCATGGACCTCAAAAATCAGTCACTGCCTTGACAACAAGGGGATTGTGGTAGTAGTCTTGATCGACATAGAGGAAGCTTTCAACAACACTTGTTCTAACTCCCTCGATAAATGGGTTCCTTCCAGAAACAATCAGCAATGTAGTCCCTTATCTGTAACTGCAATCGGAACACGCTCGACTGGGCTATCCGAAAGCAGATATTAAACGATAAATAGAGTTTGCATTTTATTTTAATCTTTTAATATGCACTATACTCATTACAACCATTACCAAAATCCACGCTAATGGTATCAAATTTGCCAGAACAACTTCGTACCTCCATATGGACCAACCTTTCTTGATAATGTTTCTCAATGCTATAGCTTGAAGAGTCATTGGGAGACATTTGGCTATTATTTGAAGTACATGGGGAAAGCTTTCAACTGGCCACATCAGACCTGAAATAATGTTCTAAATAAAATAGTTTTTGGTTAAGTTAAGCATGTATTTATTACCAGTGAGTAGCGTTACAGGAAAAATTATAGCTGTGTTTAAATAATGGGCTTGTGTATGATTTTTGCAAACAAACGACAACCAAAAACCTAGAATAGTAGGTACCGTTATTTTTAAGCTAAAAAAAATCTGAACCGCAATGCTTGCCTGTTACAAGTCCACAAATGTTAGTCAAGTAACTAACAATACTCATATGAAAAACAGAGCCTGTATGCTCTAAGCCATAAATGTAAACGATAACAATTATAGGGCTAAATGTATGAGACAACGCCATTGTTAATTGTAGCAGCAAATGTCCAAGCGTCACTTCTAGGGTTGAAACTCCTGAGGCCAGTAATCTATCCCACGTACCTAAATGGGTACATTAATTTGGAATATTTACATTTTCGAATTAGTTCAAGTTACCTTCACTTTTCTCAGATACAATGATTTGTGACGTCATCATTATACTGAAATTATATCCAAACCTAACAAAAAAATGGCTGTAAATCCTTATGTACGACCGGGCCGCAAAGCACCAGTGTGCGCCCAATTTGCCGCCATAATTGACCATATTAGTTAGGTTAGGAAAAATCGGGCGCGAAATTTAAAATGGGTTCCTAAACACATTTCAACAAATTTGACAGCAATGTATTTTGTTTCGTCTTTATTCTAAATAAATTTTATACAATTTGGCAAAGGTGCAAAATTCCTGTTTGCTCGCATTTTTTTGTTTTGTTTCGCGCAAAAAAAGTCGTACCTCTAGATTTTGATAGTGGACGTACCAGAAGCGAGTAATTGGACAGACTTGCTAAGAAACTCGATGAGACGACACGGGCGCGTCGTCGTACGGCTTAACCCGGTCGCAATATTTCTAATCTCAAAACTTCATTGTGAAGTCCTCTCGTATCAACCTTCTACAAAGTTACATAACCCGTAATTGGGAACACCATAATCCGCAGCGCGTGTGTAAAGCAGGGTCCCTGCAGGAGTGCACTTATGGAATCATTGGGTAAGTCCTTTTTATCATTATTTAGAGGTTGCGCCGCAAAGTAAATACAGTCCACTACCAGCTAAGACATTACGTATTAGCTACCCGCAAAACATTTTGATCCTTAACGAGCCAAATTTCTTATTTTGTTCTGGTGCTTAAATTGATTAACTGGTTAATTATTGCAATTAATCGATTAATTGAAAGTATTTTATTTGATTTTTTTCATTTTGTTGAAATTCATTCGCGTTATACATCATTCTTAGCAAGAAACTGTAAGTGTTTTAATTATTCTCGGTTTGTGTTTTAGACAAAATAAAACATAAAAGGCATTAAGTATTGTAATTTGGCCAGTAGAACGAAAACATTTTTATCAGAAAATCCATAGAAGTTGTAAATTGAACCTCAAGAGCAGAGCAAAAAAAAAAAGAAAAAAAAAAAAAAAAACTTGTTTATTTGAACATAAACATTCCAAGCTTGAAATTCTTTCTTTTTTTTGCCTTGCCCAAATGCAAATTCAGGAAAAGAACGGATTTTGCTAGATAGTAGGTACTATTCGATTTAATTTAATTTAAATTTGATTTCAATTTTTTTTTTTGGCAATATGTCAGAAGATTTAACAATTCTCACTGCCCAACGCAAAATTCTTATCAAACGAATTTCTGAAGTCTACGATATTGCTAATAAAGCGATCGCAGATGAGGCAACGCAAGAATATTTTAAGACACGCTATGAGGCTATTCCCTCTTATTATCAAGATTTCGAAAAAATTCACATGACAATAGTTTTTCATAAGGATATGTCTGAGGACAAATGGGATGGCGAAGAAGAAATTCGAAGCGAAATAGATGAAAAGTATTATACTACGAAGAGTATCTTCAATCAATTCATTAAAAATGAAGCAATCGCTAATGCGAGTGTCAATATGACAATGTCGCAACCGTTAGCTTCACCCACTGCCGCTTTGCATAACTATAAATGTTAATTTGCCCAAGTTGACCCTACCTGTATTTGAGGGTGACCTTAGGCAATGGCCAACGTTTTTTGATTTGTTTCAAAACCTAATTCATAATAAAGCTGGCTTATCAGATATAGAAAAGTTCCAGTATCTCCTCTCTTTTATTAAGGGGGAACCGCTAAATTTAATCAAAGCTATTCCAATAACGGAAGCAAATTACAAAATTGCCTATACAACCCTGGTGAGTCGCTACCAAAATAAAAGATTACTGGCAACCACCTATTTAACTGAAATATTGAATTTCCCTAAAGTTTCGAATGGGTTTAATTTACGCAATATTTTTGATTCCTTTATGGAAAATTTAGACGCCCTTTCTCTCTTAGGATTTCCAGTTGTACATTGGGATTTTATTCTTCTGAATTTATTACTTAAAAAACTGGACGTTGACACAGTACAACGTTTTGAATTAGCCCATGCACAATTTGATATTCCAACCTTTAATCAGTTGAAGTTATTTCTTACAAATCAATGTAAAGCTTTAGAGACTATGGCTCATTCGAATAATCAAATTTCGCAAACAAAAGGAGCAAATAATAGTCGAGGCGTAAAAGGTGATCCTGGAAAAGTTTATCCTCATGCATTGTTGGCAAATGCAAGTAACGGCAACAGTCAAACTCAAAAGATAGTACCTTCACAAAGATGCAGTGTGTGTAATTTGTCACATTTGGTTTATAATTGCCCTAATTTTCGCAATAACACTCCCAAAGAGAGATTTTCGATTTGCAAGCAAAACAGAATGTGCATCAATTGTCTGAGTTCGGCTCATAACTTACAGAAGTGCAAATCTACCTCGGTTTGTCGCATCTGTCGTTTGCGCCATCATACTTTACTGCATTTTGATTCAGCCAAGAGTCCAAACTCCGCAGATTCACAAACTAATTCATCTAGTTCAGTTCAATCGCCCCCTGATAACCAAATACCCTCATTGTTTAGCCCAAATTCAAGTTCTTCGCCGACTATGAATTCGTGTGTTGGAGCTGTAAATCCAAATTCAGTGGTTCTATTGGCAACCGCGCTAGTTAATGTCTTGGATTCCCAAGGCAACCCGCATTCCGTTAGAGTTTTGCTGGATAGTGCCAGTCAGGCAAATTTTATCTCAAAAAGGTGTTTCAACCGCTTAGGTTTGACTTCCTCAAAACTCAATATACCTATTAAAGGTATTGGCGAAATGTCTTCTCTTGTATCACAAGGTGTGACGCTATTCTCGATCGGTCCTCCTATCAACAATAAGTTGTTAGTCAATTTAGAAGCTATTATCCTACCCAAAGTATGTTCTGACATGCCAACCGCATTCTTTAAAACCGATTCTTGGGATCACATCAACAATTTGAAGTTAGCTGATCCATCGTTTAACGCTCCAGGTAGTATCGACATGTTACTGGGAGCTTCAGTTTTTCCTCATATTTGGTTGCCTGGAAAAATCGATGGAGGTGGAAGATCTCCAGTTGCCCTCAACACAATTTTTGGCTGGGTGCTGATGGGAAAAATCAATTTTCAAACTCCAACTCCACTTTATACTTTCTCAGCGCTTGTTGAAAATGATGATCTTACAACAAAGTTGCAACAATTCTGGGAAATTGAAGAAGTTCCTCAAGCTAGCACTCTCTCCTCTGATGACCTCTTGGCCGAAAGTTCGTTTGTGAATACGCACCGTCGCACGTCCCATGGACAGTTTATTGTTTCCCTGCCATTCAAAAATGGTGAACCGCTTCTTTCTGATTCACGTTCCATTGCTTTACGTCGATTCTATAGCCTGGAACGGAGATTACAAAGTAATCCCCAAACTTACAAGGCCTATTGCGATTTTATGCATGAGTATTTGTCCCTGGGACACATGAAAATCGCAACTGTCCTACCCGCTCAAGATCGTCCCGAAAAAATGTATTATATTCCTCATCACAGCGTAATAAATCCTAATTCTTCTACCACCAAGCTTCGTGTGGTCTTTGACGCATCCGCAAAAAATACAGAAGGCGAGTCCCTAAACGCAACGCTTTTACCCGGTCCTAAGCTCCAGAAGGACATCACTGCTATTCTTTTAAATTTTCGACGCTACTCGGTTGTCTTCACTGCTGACATCAAGATGATGTACCGCCAAATTTGGGTTGATTCATGTCATTGGGATTATCAACGCATTATTTGGCGATTTAGCCCTTCAGATCCCATTCAGGATTTTGTTCTGGGGGGATTCAAAAGAGTGATTTTCAGACGGGAAAATCTTGGGTTCTGGGCATTTCTTAGTATTGGAACCTATTGTACATCAAACTTTGAACATATTTCTCTATAGTTCATGCCCAAATTGTTTTTTTAGACCTATGAATTAAAAATACAAATGATTTTAATTAAAAGTGTCTGTTTTCGGTGGACGTACGTCGGGTCTAAAACCACCTGAGAGAAAGTGAGGTTGTGTGTTGTGTTATGATTGTTGGTGAATTGTTTATTTATTTATTTATCACTAGTTCAGTCATTTATTTTTCAGTTTTTTTGGATTATTGAAGTACATTTACTAACCAAGTATGTAGGTAAACTTTTATTTTATTATAATTATGTACTCATATATACTTATGGATCAAGCAACGACATACGTATTTTATACAAACATCGGCTTCTTAAATTGGTAATATTTTTATTTTAACAATGTTTATTCAACTTTCAAACACTCTTTCAGTTAATTAACATATTAAAAAAACTATTTATACAACTCAATTCCGTAACAAACGTTCTATCACGTCTACAGACGCTTTTAAAATTGAGTCCCCATAAGACATCAATGTATTAATTTTTGAACTAGGAACCCGCGCCAATTTGCGATTCTAACCTAACTAATATGATGAATTCAAGGTATAAGCCTTTGGCTGCGTCTCGTGCTTTAATTTTCCATGCGGCGGGCCACAAAAACCCTAATTGCGCCTTTGGTACATAAATAACTATTCTCACAAAAAGATCTATCAATGCAATTCTTATACATCTGTTAAAAATAGTCAGGGTTTTGAATGTGTTCTAACGACTCATACATACTTTGCCCTACTTATTCAAAGCTCTGATAGATCTAAGAGAGTATCAAATTCGGTAATCCAGCGCAAATCTGCGATGGTCTCCATTCTTTCATATTCATATTTCGATCGATAACAGCAAAGTTTGATACTTACTGCTTTCGATTAAAATGAACTTTTGTGAAACCTATCGAACTATCCATCAAGTCTAGTATTGCCGCTGGTGAACTTAGACTAGTAGACAGTGCGATAGAACTAGAACAGAATTCAATATAGCCATGAGAACCGGGCAGTGGGAGACATACAGAACCACGTTGAAAAAGTTCAAGAAAGAGCTGAGGAATCCCAGAGGAGGTCTTGGAGGAAGTACTGTGATAGAAAGTACTGAAGATTGTTAGGCTACAAAGAACTCTGTCAAGGGGCCCGGAGACAACAATCAAATCACTCAAGAACAACCCTGGTGAATACACAAAGACGGGGAAAGAG